TTTAAATTTTACACTTAGGGAACCGATTCCCCATAGGGGGTACTGATTCCCCCCACGCTCCAAGCTGTTTTATTAATTGTTTTCACACTAAAACGGCTATATGATCTTCACTAATCATCCCCAACGTTCAGAAGTGATTCAAGGTGTATTTAAACAAGTTCTGAAGCCCTTGATCAACAAGAAATCATAGAGAAACAAGAGAGAAAGCATCAAACACCAAGTTTGTGCAAATCAAGCCAATTTTCCTTTCAATATTTATTTTGCTTTCAAGAACACCATTTGTGCTCATTTGTAATTATCTTTGAGTGTTCTTTTCTTGTTCTAGAATTGTGCAAACATCTTACCTTGTGAGGTTTTTCCTGTAAGTTTGCAAATTTGTATTTCTCTTTGATAAAAGAGTGTTCTCAAGAATTGGGGTATATTCTTGAGGGAGTTGTAAAGTTATCTCTTTGGCCTCAAAAGAAAGAACAAATTAGTGAATTTGTTGGAAAATCCTTAGTGTGGATAGCTAAGGTAGTGGACGTAGACTTTGGTTGATAAAGTCGAACCACTCTAAATCGCTGTGCAATTTCTTTCAATTTTCTGCAAAAGCTTCCACCAAATTTTTTAATTGCCAGTTCACCCCCCTCTTGGCCATATTCGTCAATCGATTAACTCAACACAATCCAACTGCGTGAAGAATATCAGGCCTCGTGCAAGTTAGATAGCGTAGACTTCCCACCAAACTTTTGAAGAATGTTGGATCTACACTTTTGCCTTCTTCATGTTTGGACACCTTGATCTCGTATTCTGTCGGTGTGCTTATTTGCTTACAGTTCTCCATCTTGAACTTCTTCAGTATCTCATTTGCATAGCTTTCATGTGAAATAAAAATTCCATCATTTTGTTGCTTAACTTCAATGCCAAGGTAGTATGCCATGAGTCCCATGTCTGTCATCTCGAATTCCTTCATCATCACATCTTTGAATTCTTTAAACATGTTTGGGTTACTTCCGGTGAAGATCAAATCATCCACGTAGCGGCACACGATCAAAATATTTCCATCTTTGATCTTGATATATAGAGCGTGCTCGTAGAGACATTTATTGAAGCCATTCTCTTGGAAGTACTTGTCGATTCGACTATTCCATGCTCTTGGTGCTTGTTTTATCCCGTAAAGAGCCTTCTTCAACTTCAACACCTTATCTTCGTGCCCTTTGACTTCGTAGCCTAATGGTTGTTGAATGTAAACTTCCTCTTCAAAAACTCCATTTAAGAAGGCAGACTTTACATCCATCTGCTGTATCTTCCACTTGTTTTGAGCTGCCAAAGAAATGATTAGTCTGATAGTCTCCAATCGAGCAACAGGAGCAAATACCTCATCATAGTCAATTCTAGCCTTTTGACAATAGCCTTTAGCAACTAGCCTCGTCTTGTGCCTTTCAATCTCTCCTTTGGCGTTTTGCTTTGTTTTGTACACCCATTTGACACCTATCGCCTTATGTCCCTTGGGAAGTGAGGTAAGTTCCCATGTGTCATTCTTCTCGATGGCCTTGATTTCTTCGTCCATCGCATCTCTCCATTTCTTTTCTTGTACCTCTTCATGAAAGCTCACTGGTTCACAATCAGCAAACAGACAAAATAATGTAAAATTATCTTGTCGTTCAGTTACCTCATAGAGATCTCTAAGGCTTCTTGTACGTTGCACAACTCTTTTACTTTGACTCCCACTTGACGATGAAGAAGGTGATGAGTCTCCTTGAGTGGTTGATGTTGGTGAAGTGGGTGGAGTTGCAAGCTCTTGTTGAGATTCATCTAGTTGTTCCCTCATTGTCTGCTCATCTTCTTCAAACTGAGGAAAGAAATTGAAGTCATCTGTATGAGAGTTAAAATCCCATTCTCCTTCTTCGTTGAAGACCACATATCGACTAATCACAAACTTCTTATTGTTTGGATTATACAACTTGTAGCCCTTCGAATTAGCATCATAGCCGATGAAGATAAAACTCTCGCTTTTATCATAAAGCTTCGTTCTTCTCTCGTCTGGTACGTGAACATGGGCTATACTTCCAAAGGTTCTCAAGTGGGAAATGCCAGGCTTTCTTCCACTCCATGTCTCTTGCGGTGTCTTTCCCCATACACTTCTTGTTGGAGATCGGTTTGACAAGTATACTGCACACGATACTGCTTCCGCCCAAAATTCTTTGGGTAGTTTCTTGCTTTTGAGCATGCTTCGTGCCATGTCGAGGATTGTTCTGTTCTTTCTTTCTGCCACACCATTTTGCTAGGGGGATCTAGGAACTGTCATTGGTCGAAAAATTCCATTTTCTTCACAGAACTCTTGAAACTCCCTAGAAGTAAATTCTCCACCTCGATCAGATCTCATGGCTTTGATCTTTCTACTGCTTTCTCTCTCCACTACTGCTTTGAACTTCTTGAAGACTTCAAAAACTTATGACTTCTGTTTCAAGAAATATACCCAGGTTTTTCTTGAAAAATCATCAATGAAGAGAAGAAAATAGTTACTGCTACCGAGAGAGCTTGGCTTGATCGGTCCACACACATCGGTATGGATGAGCTCAAGTGGCTTCTTGGCTCTTGTCTCTGAATCCTTTGGAAAGCTTTTCCTGAATTGTTTCCCGACTAGACACCCTTCACAGAGCTGGTCAGGATGGTTGATGCGAGGTAGTCCTTTCACCATCTCCTTCTTAGATAACAGCTATAGACCTCCAAAATTGAGATGCCCAAATCGAAGATGCCAAAGCTATGATGCATCTTTGTAGCAAGATTTCAGGCACTTTGCAACATCATTTTGTATGTTGATCAAGAACATTCTATTATTTGACATCGGTACTTTAGCAATGAAGTTATTCTTATCATCTTTTATAGAAAGATTATAATTATTCATATGAATATCATAACCTTTCTCTACCAGTTGCCCTAAACTTAAGATGTTACTTTTCATATTGGGCACATAGTAGACATTTGAAATAAATTGATGTCTCTCATCTTTCAAACGAATAAGAATGTTACCTCTCCCTTTCACTGCTATTGTGGAATCATCTCCAAACGAAACATTTCCGCTTACTGACTTGTCTAGCTCCACGAACATGTCTTTCCTTCCACACATGTGATTGCTTGTACCACTGTCAAGATACTAGGAATTTGCTTGGCCACCATCAGTTTCTTTTCGTGCTAAAAGAAGAGTTTCTTTGCCATCTGTCTTTTCCTCCACGTAATTGACCTTCTCCTCAATTTTGTTGTTGGGAGCTCTACATTCTGAAGAATAATGCCCAAACTTCTGACAATTATAACATCGAACTTGAGATTTGTCATGCCTTGAGTTCGGATTGATTCTTCCACGGCCTCGTGTTGAGCTTTCTCCTTTCTCACAGTTGTTGTTGGAATTGTTGTTGTTGTAATTCCAGCCTCGTCCAAGACCTCGACTTCCACCTCGTCCATGACCTCTAACTCTACCTTGGCCACGTTGGTTTCTATCATTGCGTTGGTTCTCATGCATATCCTTGAGTTGCAGCTTGAGGAGTTGCTCAGTAAACTCATGCTTCTTCTTATGATTCTCTTCGTATGCTTGCAATGATCCTTGGAGCTGCTCGATCTTCATTTCTTCCAAGTCTTTAGTTTCTTCAATCGTCACGACGATGTGCTCAAATTTGGGATCCAACGAACGGAGTATCTTCTCTATTATCCTCACATATTCTAACTTTTCACCATTTCTTTTTAATTGATTAGAAACAACTACTACTCTTGAGAAATAATCTGAAATAGACTCAGATGCTTTCATGTGTAAGGATTCGAATTCACCTCTTAATGTTTGGAGACGAACCTTCTTCACTTGCTCAGATCCTTTGTAAGAGGTTTGCAGCTTCTCCCATGCTTCCTTGCTAGAGCTTGCACTTGAAATCTTTTCAAAACCATCATCATCTAATGCTTGGTAGATGAGGTAGAGAGCCTTCTTGTCTCTCTTTCTTGAATCCTTCAAAGTTGTCTTTTGATCTGGTGTAAGAGTAACAAAAACAACATCATCCACAACCTCGTTATAGCCTTTCTCTATGATATCCCACACATATTGTGATCCAAGAAGTGCCTTCATTTTGATACTTCAATTGTCGTAGTAGTTGTTGTTGAGTGTCGGAACTTGGAATGGTTCCATACCATTTGCCATATCTCTCAATATAATGAGATTTTGTAAAATCCGATTACACGGATGAATCCGGAACGCCGAAAAAACCTTGAGAGGGACTTGGACAACTCGGTCAAGGGCTCCAACTCGGCTGACTCGGCTCAACTCGGTGAGTCAACTCGATTTTCTGGCAACAGTCTTTCGACGGTGCGTGGTGGTGCGTCAGAACTCAGATTGAGAAAATTCTGGCGGCGTCGGATTCCTCTCGTCGAGACCTTCGATCTTTCCAACTCTCTCTGATGCCACTTTGTTGGAAATAAAACACTCACACAAACAACTTTTATTGAAACTCAAACAAATATTACAAGAGCACCCTCACTCAAAACAAGAACTACAACTCACTCTTATAAGACTTTGCTTCTTCACTCACTTAGAAGCTCTTAATTTTTCTTTATGCTTAAAACTAAAATGGGAAGGGGTATTTATACTACTCAAGAACAATCTTACACCACACAAAACCATTACAAATTCAACAAATACCTAACTCTCACCTAACTAAATTGATGTAAGCAATGACATCATTACTTAAATGATGTAAGCAATGACATCTTTACTTAAATGATATAAGCAATGACATCAATTTAGTTTGAGTTTGAGTTTAGGCTCCCATAATGAATCAAGTTTATGATCCAACAATTGTGGCAGGGCAAGTTTCCGTGACTTTATACTTTTGGCGGAGGAGTTGAATCCGGTAAGCATCAGGACAAGTCAATAAAGCAAAACCAATTTTTAATATAAAAGCCTTAGGATCCCAAGACCACCTCTGGCAGTCGGCTGACTTATTATTTCCCAATTAACAAGGGATATTTTATTCCCCATATTAGAGGAACCCCATATTAGAGGAACCGCATATAAAATGACGGATGATCTTTTCCATCTCATTATAGACGCGTCTAGGAAACATTGTAGTTTGCATGAAGAAAATCGGGATAGCTGCAAGGACGGCTTTGTCAAGTGTTACATGACCAGCTGTAGAGAGTAACTTTGACGTCCAACCATTCAGCTTGTTGCGCATCATATCAAGGATGAAAGAGTAATCCTGGTAAGTGGCTCGTTTGTGTTTGACTGGAGCACCAAGGTACTTCCCAAGTGATTCCAATTCTTGGAAACCAAAGTTTGGGTATATTATGGCTCAAGAGGCAGAGTTAACATTTGGCAAGAAGTAGATACTAGATTTTTGTTTGCTGATTTTATGGCCAGAACAGAGACAAAAATTTATAAGAATAGACCTAATTAACTCTGATTGCTGCGGGTCAGCCTTTGCATAGAGTATGAGATCATCTGCAAAAAATAAGTGCGATATTGGAGAGCCTTTTCGAGGAGTATAAGAATAAATTCCCATCGGAAGCGGTCAAAGGCCTTTTCTAGGTCAACTTTTATTGCCATCCAACCGTCCTTGGTCTTAGAGGCCCTCATTGAGTGAATGGCTTTTTGATTCACAATTATGTTTTCGGTGATAGACCTGCCAGTAATAAAGCTGGTTTGTTGACGGACAAGAAGCTGCAATATGAATTTGTCTTTGAACTATAACTTTGGTGATGAGTTTGTACATTATGGTACAAAGACTAATAGGACGAAAATCAACAAAAGATTCAGGGTTGTCCTTCTTTGGGATTAGAACAAGAACTTTTTTATTAATGCCAAGATCAATGGGGTTTCCTTCGAAGACGTTGCAGATCATATGGCAAACAGCTACCTTGACAATAGGCCATTGACGTTGGAAAAATTCAGCATGTAATCCATCATGACCCAGAGCTTTGAGAGGGGCCATGTCGAGGAGGGCACTATAAATTTCTTCATCAGACGGGAGATCTCCCAAATTTTGTAACATAGCAGTCGGGAGATGAGGAAAGAGTCCAGTACAAGGAAAATTCCCTTGTATAGGTGGATCAGATGCATAAATAGACTGAAAGTAGTTAACCGCTTCTGCTTTTAGAGTTTCTTCATCATGACACCATTCACCAGTAGCAAGCTTGAGGGCCATAATGCAATTTCGCTGCTTCCGTTGTTTAGTTTTCTGATGAAATAGTGGGTGTTACGATCCCCCATATTTATCCAGTCCACACGGGATCGCTGACGCCAAAGAAGTTCTTCTTGATCAAGAAGTCGTTCAATATCGAGTAAAAGATCAACTTCAAGCTTAAGAAGGTGGTTCGAATAACGACAAGCTAAAGCTTTTTGGACACAGCTTATTCCAAGTGGCAACAGCTTCAGTAAATTTAGCAATCGATTTGGAAAGGCTTCCAGAGAAAACCCAGTTATCTTTAACCATTCTAGGGAAATCCTCTTGTTGGAGCTAACCTGAAAAATATTTAAAGGAAAAAGAACGAGGACCATGATTCAAATCATCCATACATGAAAGGAGAGGCCGATGATCAGATTTCATGCGCAATAAATGATGAACATTAGAGGTCGGAAAAGCCTGATCCCATTCATTGTTACAAAGGATACGATCCGAACAAGCATGTTGTAAGCCGCGAGTCCAAGTGAATTCGGGACCATGGAAACCCATATCACGGAGACCCATATCAAAAATGAAAGTTTGGAAATCATTACTAGACTTGGCAGAGCTAGCACAACCTTTCCTTTCCGCAGTGCTAACAGTTGCATTAAAATCCCCAGGGATGATCCAAGGCGAATCAATGGTAGAAGCAACATTACGAAGTTGGGGCCAAAGAGAACGACGCTTTGAAGCATTTGGACTGGCATAAGCAAAGGTAGCCAGAAAAGAGGATTGATCCCGTTTGTTTGTGATTCAGCAGTGAACAAATTGCAAGTTGTTCAAAATAATGTTAACTTGAACAGAGTCGTACCAGCATATCCAGATTCCTCCTGAGAAGCCATTAGCTTCAACACGATGAGAATAAGGAAAGCCTATCGATGCAATAAAAGCATCAGCTTTTCGACCACTAATCCGTGGTTCAACAAAGCAAACAATATTCAGTATAAAGTCTCCGAGATACTGAAAGATAACTAAGATGAATTTGGGGTGACCAACACCCTGCGCATTCCAACAAAAATATTTTAAAATCCATAAACATAATAAAAATAGTAAAGAGGTGACCTGAATTTATTCGAGCATTGCATCAGCAAGTCCTTCCGTAGCGGTAGTAACGGCATTCTCCATTGCTTGGTCTTGGGGATATAAAATTGGGAGAGTGTCTGATATCTTATCTGGGGGCACCACCGTTTGTGAAATATGGGATGTGGGAGGTTGGGCGATATGAACGGTGGCTAAATTGTTCGTTGTGGGATCCGAGTTTTCATTAATGACGACAATAGTATGCTTTTCCTTATCAATATTTGGCATGCGTGATGCATTTGCTAAGTTCTTTGAAGAGTTGTTGGCTTGTGTATTTCGTTGAAGAGAGAGGCTTTGTAACCTCAAGAGGTCGTCGTGGGGTTGAAACAAATTTGCCTTTAGAGGCTTTAGCCACCTTTGTGTTACTAGCCATGTTATCCATGGGTTCATTACCACCCGAATCAGGAGGTTCATCATCTAAACGGCGATGCTTTTTGGTGGTCCTTTCATCAACTGTGGGATCGACGCCGCTGGTCGCTTGGTGGTTTACAGAGGAAAACATAGGGTTACAGTTACGTGTATTTTTCCTTCATTTGATTGATAAATATCTTTAAGGTTTGACTCTATATAGTGTAAACTACACAGCTCATCACTCAATTTTTTATTTTTCTTATTTTGGTCACTCAAATTTCAAAGTCTTAAATTTAATAACTGAATTTTATACATTGATTTTTTTAGTCACTCCTCCGTTAATTTATTAACATAGTGATGACGTGGCTTTTTAACTTAAACTTTTCTCATTTATTTGACTTTTTAACATTCTAATTTCCCATTTATTTTTCCATTTCAACGGCATTGGTGTTGAATGCTCTCACTATTTTCTTACATTCCTCCGAGCTGCAACTCTCGCTATTGGAAATGGACCTGCAACATCCTTTAGAGGTCCACCAACCCTTCTGCCTATAATCTAGCCATCTGCACTTGATAGACTTGCACCGATCCTTACAACTAATCTTGACTCCAAAAAGGAAAATTAAAAAAGAAAAATCAACTAAAAATATCACTAATATTCTCAGAAAACTATTAGACTATGTAAATTGTAACAAGATAATTGATTATGTTTATGGGGCGAGATAAGTTTTCTTTGGTTATGGGGTGAGATACGTTTTCTTTTGTTGAATAGATTGATGCATATCAATTTTTTTTAAAAGGGTATATTTTGTATGATATATATACAAAAGCTGATACAAGACAAGATATTGTGTAAGCCTTATTAAAAAACCTTCTTACCCCTATTTGGGGAAAAGAGTACCCACACAATGTCAAGAGTTCAAACAACATCGAACACCATGGTGAACAACAAAATAATAACATACAACCAGATGAAAAAAGCACAAAACGCCCTTCGTGAAACGAAAAAATATGATAACAACCATCAACTGCTAATATGAAGGTTGAAATAGAAAACTAAAAAGTTGAAAAGTAAAATAAATAAGAAAATTTTGAGTTGAAATGTCACATCATCACTCTGTTAGTAAATTAACGGAGGAGTGATTTAAAAAAAGTCAAAATTTGAAAAATTTTAAATTTAAGTGACCAAAATAAAAGTGATAAGAAAGTTGAGTGTTGATATGTGTAGTTTACCCGCAACATATTTAGAAAAAGTGAGAAATTTAACTTAACGTTCCTTACTTGATAAAAAAGGATAAATTTTGTATTTAGTATTTAAACTATCAATTTTATTCATTTTAGTACCAAAACTTTCATTTTTTTTCAAAATCATATCTAAAATTTAGTTTTTGTTTTATTTTAGTACACTGCCATTAAAAGTTTTTGTTTTTGTTTCATTTTAGTACTAGATTCAAATTTTAAAGTTAAGTTTTGAAAAGATTAAAAGATTATGTACTAAAACGACCAAAACTATAGTTTAGGTAGAAAATGCATTAAGTTTTTAACGACCATGTACCAAAATGAAATAAAAACTAAACGTTAGGTATAATTTTGAAAAAAATTAAAAGTTTAAATACTAAAACGGATTAAAACTGATAGTTTCGATACTATATGACTAGTTTCCCCTAAAAATTATGCCCAAACAAAGAGAAGAGAGTCATTTCTCACACTTCCTTTAACTCCCATCTAAACACACTGTACATCAAAATCGAATTCAATAATATATGTATGCTAAGTGAAAAATTATTAGATCAGTGCCAATCAAGAACATTTGTCCATCTTATTTTTGTAAAGTGAATCTTCATATATTTTCTGCATGTAAATAAAAAATAGTTAATTATTTGAAAGTTATTTTAAAGTTGATGGATTTGATCCACTAAGACCAAAGATAACGTGGTTCCAATAAACAAAATGATTGGGGGAAAAGGGGTGTCAAGAAATTATTTTGGGATCTATGACATTTTCTACAATACAGGGAACTCATCACCTCGAAATGACAAATTTTGTGGTATATTATTTTTATATTAGGGGCCCGTTATTTTAATATTTCTTTTGAACCTCGTCACATCGAGATAATGAAATTCATTAAAAATTATTATTATTTCATATTTTTAATATGAATTTAAATTAAAAAAGAACATTGAAACTCGTCATCTCGAGATATTGATATTGATAAATTTTGTAAAATCGGTACAACATGAGAATACAATTACTAAGGATTTATCAGCCCGTTCGATATTTTGGGATATGTAGACAATGTTTCCTGTTGTGACATTCACCTCTACAATGGCCATATTGATTTAACATACATTGCTCTCTTTAAGGGTCATCCATATTAATATGAATTCGACAAGATTCAAGACGACCCCTCAAATTCCTTTGTAATTTTGGATTGGGCAATAGTAGGTGGCCAATATGCATCGTTCGAGAGATACTTAAACTCGCAATTTATATGTTACGCATAGTATGCAGACTATAAAAATCATTAGCGTATGGGTCTACATTCATATGCATACATGCAGCAACTGCGTGAGCTCATAGGTATCCGAAGGCTTGAAATTGACCATAATTACACTATCTTCTATTCAAATTACCAAGATAAGTGGTAGAATTCTCATCCTCATGTGGTTAAACAAGTGCTTGGACAATGTAATCATATTCTAGTTTGGCAAAATTATGAACATACATTATGTTACATGAGTTTGATTTTTGTTCATTGCTTTCTCCAGATTTGGAGCCCAATTTATACCTTCGTTGAGCATTGCCTCTACTTGTGCACCTTTATTTGCCCATACTTTACCAAATTTGAAGTAAGTCTCCTAAACAATACATGCCACCGGAAGATGTCTAGTCCTTTTTAGCACATAATTTATACATTTGGCAAGATTGGTTGTCATATGACCATAACGTCAACCTTGATTGTCATATGCATGTGACCATCTTTCCCGAGGTATCTCAGTTGCAAAGGTATAAACTTTTTCTCCATACTTCCTCAAAATTTTCAATCTTGTACGGAAGCTCGAATGTAGTAATGCAAAGCTTGAAAAAAAAGTTAGGTTTAAGTATAATTATAAACGAAGACCAAAAATGAAGGGGACAAAGAATAAGTTATCCATGTTGATAATCTCTTTCTTGATCTTCTTATTTTTAAACCTCATTATAGCATTGTAAGCAATATGACATATGCAGTAAGCAGAAAATGCATGCGGAGGATACCACCTACTTCTTGATCTATCAATCATGGTCAACAACCTAAGTGAACAGTCTGAGATCATACAAACCTCATATTGAGTGACAAAATGGGCGCGCAAGTTTGACAGAAAAAAATCATGTTTCCTCAGACTCATTTTTAACAATGGCAAAGGTAATGTGGAAGATATTTTTGTCGCCATCTTGTGCAACAACTATCATCAGGATGTGTTTGTGTACAACGTACATAAAAGTTCCATCCACTTGAACTATTTGTTTGCAGTAACGAAAACCTTCAATCGATGACTTAAAAGCCTAGAACAAGCCTCCGAAAACTCTTTTCCTTGTGATAACTTGTCTATCAAATGTGGTCGCATGATAAGTGATGTGATCCTATTCAACAAGGGCCTGGAGAAGTACATAAGTGGCCCCATCATACGTGAAAGGGACAAGGAGTTTCAAGCAGCAATGGAAAGCTTGTTTACAACAAGCCATGAACATGGGAAAGAAGAAATAATAAGGGATGAATGTTTTACCTTGCTCATGCATATTTGCATGAGAATTTAAGTATTTCATAACCTCCATTACATTAATAAAGTGTGTTGATCATTAAAACATGCATTTCATTTATAGTTAAGTTCAGTTATGGAAGTAGTTTATTTATGCATCTTAAATCATTCATTAAACTACTTCATTCATGCATTTATTTAAATTTAATAAAGTTAGTTCTTAATTTAAACTAGTTCATTAACTAAACTAACTCCTTAATTGTTTTATTCATATTTTATTTAAAGTTTGAATAAATCCTATATGTGTGTTTAGGTCATGTGACATGTAGAATGATGGAGAGACCTTTCAACTTCAACTTGGAAACAAGTCATTGATGACCATCTTTATTCATGCAATCAAGGTAATTCAAGGCTGAAATTTTATCTACACACAAGGGTTTTTCATATAATTGAAAATACAATGCATTCAAGCCTCATTATTCACCTAATCAATCAGCCGTTGATGGCCATTAACGTGTTAAGCTAGATGACAAGTGATTCAAGGCTTTTTAATTTATAAAATCAGCAAATGAGACAAACAATGAAGACTTGAGTTATTTCAATTATTCTCTCATTTAAGTGAAGAATTCAACAAAGAATATGAAGGGACAAGCTCATTTGGATTTGTAGGATGTTTACATTCATCCTAAGACTACATTTATTCCCTTTTATTTCATTTGCAAGCAAGTAAGGCAACCCAAGAGTCTCTTCTTCCTTTTGGATAAAAATAAGGCTAAATACATTCAAAATTCAGCCCAAATTCATCCAATTTAATCAACATGGCCAACCATCAAAGGATAAGGAAGAAGACGAATCATGTATTTGTATTAAAGAGCATTTAGATGAGCATTCATCTTTTTTCATGACTTTTCATACGGTGCCTATCTACACTATAAATAGAAACCTTAGGATTATTTGTAAGACACAATTTTTGAATTATAAACTCATTGAAATAATGATTTCATTTATATCTTGCGAGAACTTTATTGGCATCAAGTTGTGCTTGTAGTCTTTTATCCCTTCCATATTATAATAGCATTGGTTCCTAGTTCTCTTATAGCTAGTGGGTCTTTTTCCACACTCCTTCACTTCAACTCCATCAAGATATATTGCTAATTTCTAGCTTGTTATAACTAGCGAGTTATAATTCGCCATCCTTGCAACCATACAAGTCTACGCCACTTCAACATCTTACCATCACTTCTCCTTTTATTTTCATTTTACCACAACTATCATTCTTCATCCTTAGCCTTTAAACTATCCAATTTATCTAACCAATCCTTTCTTTATCAATTTTATTATATTGATATTCATCTCACATATATGTTTTTATGATATTTCAGAGTTCAAAGCATTGCGATAATTGTTTCTTACT